GAGGGAAGCTGCAGCCTGCGGGCGGCCATCAGGCAAGTACGCGCATGCGCGGCGGCCGGACCCGGGATTGTGCATGCGCTCTGCTCCACTGGGCTGCAGTGGCGCCACCTCCGGTGGGAGACGGGAACTGCAGCGTGACCTTTTTGTTGACATTGACGTTTCCCATTGTCAAACTTCAGGGGACAGTCTAGCACACCCCCATCCCATCCTCCCTCAGCGCTGACCCTCCGACAGCGCGGCGCTGACCCTCCGACAGCACGGCACTCCATCGGCGCTGACCCTCCGACAGCACGGCGCTCCATCGGCGCTGACCCTCCGACAGCGCGGCGCTCCCTCGGCGCTGACCCTCCGACAGCGCGGCGCTGACCCTCCGACAGCACGGCGCTCCATCGGCGCTGACCCTCCGACAGCGCGGTGCTCCCTGATTATGCAAAAGTGTCCAAGGGAGGGAGGGTGGAGAGAGATTTGTAGAATGTTTGTTTAGAAGCAGCGAGTGGCTGTGATCTGGGAAAGGGCAGTGGGTGTGGATTCAACAGGAGCTTGTGGAAGCGGGGAGAAAGACAGGAGAAGGCGGAAATTGTGGAGAGATGTGGGGAGGGGGGACAAATCAGAGCTATCTGTCAGAGGGCAGGCAGGATGTGATGGGCTGAATAGCCTGCTGTGGCATTTCCCATCGCCGATTTCCCGTTCCCATTGCTGTCGTCCTTCCAGTTCACAGGAGCTGCTGCAGGAAATGAAAGCGTTCATCAGCGGTATTGACCCAGTGCATGGTCACAAGCTGTCTGTGAAGGATCACGCCCGCTGTGGGATCTTGCTGCTTCGGAACCTGCCCCCGGCCCGGGCGGCCGTCCTTGAGCACCTGCGGGGGGTCTTCGACGAGTACGTCAGTGGCTACATCCTGGAGCTGAACCGCGAGGGGACGGCGGGACCTCCGAGCTTGGCACAGCCCGGCCTCGACGACGTCACCCAGGAGATCCAGGGCGTGCTCTCGGAGTTTGTGCACTCCAACCCAAAGGCCTGGGCTCCCCTGGTCTCGGCCTGGTCCATTGAGCTGATGGGTCAGCTCAGCAGCAAATACTCGAGCCGGCACCAGGTCCCACACACCAGCAGCCTGAACGAGCTGCTGCAGCTCTGGATGTCGTGCAAGGCCACGCGGGTACTGATGGAGATCTATGTGCAGTGCCTCTCGTCCATGATCAGTAGCTGCCCAGACGCTTGTGTTGATTCCCTCCTGGACACCTCGGTGCAGCACTCACCGCACTTCGACTGGGTGGTGGCTCACATCGGCTCCTCCTTCCCCAACACCATCATCAGCCGCGTCCTGTCCTGCGGCCTGAAGGATTTCTGCATGCACGGGGCTTCCTCAGTGGTGGACCCCCTCTTCCCATCCCTGGCGGACAAGAGGGTGCCCAAGATGGCGTCGGTGGTGGGCATCCTGGGCCACTTGGCCACCCGGCACTCAGACAGCATCCGGCAGGAACTGCTGCTGATGTTCCACGAGAGCCTGAGGCCTAGCCGAGAGCCTCAGCACAACGCCACGGTACCCTTCCTTCTGCAGCTGGCTGCCATGTCTCCGGTGCTGCTGAGCACTGTCTCCAGCGAGCTGGTGGAGTCTCTGACCCCCCCGGTGCTGGAACAGCTTCACCAGCAGTTTGTCGGGCTGGGCCGCGACGATGCTGACAACCTGGTGGGCCTGGTGGTGCACCTCATCTGCCAAGCTGGGCCTGGGGCTTACCGCATCCTCCAGTTCCTGGTCAACACGGCCATGCCAGCCTCGGTCATCACCACACCAGGCCTGACGGTCAGGGATGGAGTGCGCGATGCCTGTCATCGTATTATCCAGTTGCTTCTCCTCAACCTCCAGAAGCTGGTCTACAACAGGCCCCTGGGCAGCCTCGGTGAGGCACAGCCCCCTCGCACAGTCCCCTTCTTCGACGAGCTGAAGTCCCGGGTCCGAGACCTGTGCCTGGAGACCCTGAGGCTGGAGCGCAAGCGGCACCTCTGGCAGCACCAGCTGCTGGCCTTGCTGTGTGTCTACAGTGGGCAGAGCTGTACCACCGAGGCCCTGGGCCACCTGCTGGTGCTGGCACGGAGCCCCGAGGAGCTGGCCTTAGCTATCCAGCTACATGACCAGCTCTCGGCGTCGATGCCAGGTCTGCTGCAGGCCACTGTGAGGCGTTGCATTGACAGGCTCCATTCCTCCAGCCTGCCCGAGGCCCAATCCGCCCAGCTCCTCACCAACCTAGCGTTGCTGCTGCAGCGGGAGGGGGAGGACAGGGAGGCCGAGGAGGAGGGTGAGCTCAGAGAGGAGGAAGGGTCTGCTTTCCCCTCTCCCTCTGCCATCAGCTGTGGTCTGGCGGAGGCCCTGTCTGTGCATGTGCGGGACCTGGGACAGCTCCTGCGGCACCCCGAGACCCAGCTCTCAGACTCCGCGGCCGCCCTGCTCTCGGCTGTGCCCCTCCCCCGTGCCCTGGGCCCCGCCCTGCTCTCGGGCCTGTCCCGGGCTGGTGTCGGTCATTTCCTGAGGGCCCTGAGGCAGGGCCAGCCTGCTCCAGCCCAGGACAGCGCCCGCCTGCTGGCACGTCTCAGCTCTGTCTCTCCCGGTGCCCTGCGGGCCGTCCTGCAGCAACTGGTATGCTCTGCCGCCCAGGAGCCCGGCCTGTTCGGTGGGACTCCCCGGGGAACCCCCAGGCCTCAGGATCACCCCTCCCCAGCGCCCGGTGACTCCCTGCTGGACGTTAACCGCAGGTTCGGCACCGCCGTCAACTTCAGGGGCAGCGTCTGGGCCGTCTTCCACGCTGGCATCATTGGGCGTGGCCTAAAACCCTCAGCCTCCTCGCCCTCCCCTTGCCCCTCCTTCCCAGGGTCTCTGGAAGCCTCCGACAACCTATACCAGCTGCTGAGCCTGGTGGTGAGGTGCGGCACGCAGTGGAGGAGGCCCCTGGCGCAGTCTGAAGCCGGCCCGGCTGTGCCCCCCATTAACCCAGAGGCGGCGAAGGCCGTGGCTGTAGCCCTGGTGGAGGAGCTGTGCCCGGATGTCACCAACAGCGAGCTGGCCTGGCCTGGTGATGACCACAGTCGTAGCACAGTGGAACGGGACCTGCAAATCCGCAACCACTTTGAGGGAAACCCGCTCTTCTTCCCCCTGCTCCAGCTGGTCGCCGTGGGGAGGCCTGCTCTCTGCTACTGCTCAGTGCTGCTTCGGGGCCTCCTGGCCACCCTCATGGCCCATTGGGAAGCTTCCCGGGACTCCCTGACCACTAGCTCACTCTGGCAGCTACAGGCTTCCTGCTGCCTGGTCTCCTGCATGGGTGAGGGTCAGCTCCTGCCCCCCGTGCTCAGCAACATGCACGAGATCTTCCACCTCCTCACCCCCTTCGAGGTGCACCTCCTGCTGCTCAGCGTCTGGGATTACATGAAGGATAATGGCCCGCTCCCCCAGAAGTTCACCTTCGACCCTGAGCAAGGCCAGTTCTACCGGGACTTCACACGGGACGGTGACATGTGCAAATACCTGAACGTCCTGCACAGCATCCTCCACAAGAATATCGAGCAACTTGGACACTTGTGTGGTCGCTTTCAGATCTGACCCACATTCTGCCATTCGCCGTCAGCTTCACCATTGTACAGTGCGGGGCCTGAAGTATTTAACAGAAAGGTCCACTCAGTCAAATATCGCCAAACCCCATCAGCTGACCGTTCAAATCCTCAGCTTTTAAAGCAGTGATCTCCCAAAGGCAATGATTTCGAGCCCGTTGCAGATGACCGAGCCAACAGCAGTGATACTGGACAGTGTGCTGCAGACTCCTGTTGTGATGTGAGCTGTGATTTTAAAACCCGCCACATTCTGTGATTATCAACGATTAGCCCGCGTGATGCTGAAAGTGACCAGGGACAATGGGATGATGCTGTGCCAATTGCTGTGTTCTTGTCCCTTAGGATGTGCAGGGCTCCTGTGTTTTCTCTCACTCTCTTTCTCACATTCAGTCCCACGTTCTCTCTCTCGTTCTCTGTTTCATTCTCTCTTTTCTCTGACTTGCTCTCTCACTCTCTGTCTCGTGCTCTCACCCCCTTTTCCTCTTTCCCTTTGTTTCACCCTCTCTCCATTTCTTTCTCATTCTCTCTCTTTGTTGTTTTTATCCCTCTCTCTCATTCTCTGTCTCATGCTCTCTCTCTCTCGCTCAGACTCTCTCTCTTTCTCTTCTGCTCTATCTCACATTCTCACTTTTTCTTCCTCGCGCTCATTCTCTCACTCATTTCCCACTTGACCCCAGTAGGTCCCCACGTGAAGATAGACTGACCTACGACTGCCAGCCAAGACAGGGCAACCTTTGATGTGAAGGCCACCAGGGTTGAATTACTCTTGTAAATAGAATATTGAAGTTTGTGAATATTAACCATTCCGTTTTGTAAATTGTTCCCTCTAAGGTTTTGAAAGAAAAACGTTGAGTTGAAATAAATATTTATGTGTGTGCGCTGCCTGTATTGAACACTCCAACAGAACCTGACCCTCTACTTGGAGACCATCCTAAAGTCCAGCAGTTCCATGAAACGTAACTTCACAGTGAATGTTCAAAACAGTTTACCCCGGGGACGCTGTACCCCAGGGGATATCAGTGCTCAGACACAGTTTATGTTCATCAGATTGTGCAAATATTTACCTATGAGATAATGAAAGATCAGGGCAAAGAATGGGAACATGACAGTGGGCTGGAGAGCAGTCGCAATCTTATTGATAACAGAGCAGGCTTGAGGGGCTGAATGGCCAATAACAGGGGAGCAGCACGCAGCCCCAATACCACCTGAACGCTACCTGCTCTCTCACTGTATTCCTCTCCCCTCTCCCAGTCCAGAACGCTACCTGCTCTCTCACTGTACCCCTCTCTCCTCTCCCAGTCCAGAACGCTACCTGCTCTCTCATTCTATCCCTCTCCCCTCTCCCAGTCCAGAACGCTACCTGCTCTCTCACTGTACCCCTCTCCCCTCTCCCAGTCCAGAACGCTACCTGCTCTCTCACTGTATTCCTCTCCCCTCTCCC